ACTCCAGTCTGGGCGACAGAGTAAGACTCCAACTCAAAAAAAAAAAGAATGTGGCCCAGTCCAAAGATCATGCTGGGCTCTCCAGAATGTGGCCCAGTCCAAAGTTCACAGTGGGCCACTTCTTGGAACAAATGATTACAATCTCACTCAAAATGCCTACTACAAACCTCTAAGAACTACATAACTACTATATAAAATTATTGTTATTTTTTTTTGAGTTGGAGTCTCACTCTGTCACCCAGACTGGAGTGCAGTGGCCACTCCCAGCCACTGCAGCCACGACCTGCAGGCTCCGGCGATCCTTCCGCCTCAGCCTTCCATGTACCTGGAACTACAGCGTGCTACCACGCCTGGCTCATTTTTGATTTATTGTAGAGATGAGGTTGCCCAGGCAGGTCTCGAACCTGCGGGCTCAGGCAATCCACTCACCTCAGCCTCCCAAAGGTGCGGGATTACAGGCTGAGCCACCGAGCTCAGCTATAAAATTATTTTATTTCTCAGCCAACATACTAAAAACCTGTGACCAGTACTAAGGCTCTTAGATGTGACCCAAGTTTAAACTGTAAGTTGTACTAAAGCCAAAACAGCAATCAATAGTAAAAAAGGAACAATGAGTTTTTAAAGTTAGCTGTGTTTCTCTGGGTCTCAGAGTTTTATGCTTGAGCTAGTAGGAGTTTTCTCTGGCTATAGTGCTAAGCAAGAAAAGGGAGACAGAATGGGGTCAATAGCTCCCGAACATATCCTAGTGGTCTTGGGATCCACAGCTCTCCCTGATCCCTAACACTCAGTGGGCCTCCGTGGCGGCCTCCCAACAGCTGAGGTGGAAGAATCGCTTACACCTAGGAGTTTGAGGCTGCAGTGAGCCATGATTATGTCACTGCCCTCCAGCCTGGGTGACAGAGTGAGACCTTGACTCAAAGAAAAAGTATGTTCTCAATTTTTTCATTAATTGAAACATGTAGTGACTTAATTGCTTTAGCTACTATGCTCAGCCTTAAATAAACAAACTTTTAAGGTACATGATCTGATTTGAAATTTTTTTTTGGAGTAGGAGTCTCATTCTGTTGCCCTGGCTGGAGTGCAGTGGCATGCTGATGGTCACCGCAGCCTCGGCCTGCTAGGCTCAGGCATTCCTTCCATCTCAGCCTTCTAAGTAGCTGGAACCACAGGAGTGAGCCACCATGCCCAGCTAACTTTTGGATTTACTCTAGAGATGAGGTCTCTCCAAGTTGCCCAAGTTGGTTTTGAACCCCTGGACTCAGGCAGTCCTCTCTCCTCTGACTACCAAAGTGCTCAGATTACAGGCGTGAGCCACTGCACTTAGCTTATTTGAAATATTAAGCCACTTCTTTCATTCATTCAGTAGACCAGTCATAAGAGCCAGGTGATAGTAGTAATGATTAATGACTAATGCTTTATGGCACTTGTGTGCCAGGCACTATTTTGAATTCTTTCCCTGTGTTCACTCATTTGGCCTTGTTAACAACCAGGAGGTACAGACTGTTAGTCTCCCTATGGTACACATGAGAGAACTCAGGCACACAGAGAGAAGTCATTTGATCAAGGTACTGGCAGATTCAGGATTTGAACGTAAGCAGTCCTGAGTGTGTGTGTGTGTGTGTTGAGTCAGAATCTTGCTCTGTCACACAGGCTGGAGTGCAGTGGCACTATCCCAGCTCACTGGAGACCTCAAGTCCTTTGCTAAAATTACCCTCCTGAGGAGCTGGGACTGCATGCCACCATGCCAGGCTAAGTTTTTAAATTTTTTTGTAGAGGTAAGGTCTCTCTATGTTGCCCAGGGTGATCTTGAGTGAACTCCTGGGCTCAAGTGATTCTGCCGCCTCTGCCATCCAAAGTGCTGGGATTGCAGATATGAGCCACCACTCCAGCCCCAATTTATACTACTATTCAAGACTAGCCATTGTATTTAATGACATGTATTTTGTTTTTTGGGGTTTTTTTGTGTTGGAGTCTCACTCTGTGTCACCCAGGCTGGAGTGCAGTGACACGCTCATGGCCACTGTAGCCTTGACCTGCTGGGCTCTGGTGATCCTTCTGCCTACCCTTCCAAGTGGCTGGAGCTGCAGGCATGCACCACCATGCCTGGCTAAATTTTTTTTATTTATTGTAGAGACCAGGTCTCACCACGTTGCCCAGGCTGGTCTCAAACCTGTGAGTTCAGGCAGTCCTCTCACCTTAGCCTCCCAGTGTGCTAGGATTATAGGCGTGAGCCAACAAGCCCAGCCTGACATGTATTTTAATTTCTCCTTATCTCCCCTGTTTTCATTCTAGTTCATCATCTTTTGCCCAGGCCACTGCACTGGTCTCATACCTTTGCTTCTGCTCCTAACCTCCCTGCAGTCCCTTTTCCATTTAGCAGTTACAGTGGCCCTTTTACAGTATTAGAGGATATCAGCTGTCTTCCTAGATGCTTCCTCGGACTTCTCAATCCATTTAGAATAAAACTGAGAGGCTCCCTTTGGCCTGTAGGACCCTTCATAATCTGGCACTGGCACTTTTTGTACATAATCTCCTTCACCTACCTGTGCTGTTGAGCTCCACCCACTGTCTTCTGCATTACTCTTAGGCACGTGCTATCCCTGCTGTGTGGCACCTCTTGCCACCCACAAATACCTGCTCTTCCTTGCTTGGTTTAGGTGTCCTTCGAATGTCCCCACTTAGCATGCCTTTTCTAACTGTGATATTCAAGTTGCCAATACTCTTCTTTTGCCCTACTTTATTTGTACTTATGGCACTTAAACCTCTACTTGATAGTTTATAGCTAAAGTATTTATTGTTTCTTTCATTAGATTGTAAGCGCCATGGGAGCAGGACCTTGTGGGGCTTGTTGGCTCAGTACCTTACACAGAAGCAACTGTTTAATAAGTTTTTGTTGAATCAGTGGGGTAAAGAAATGCCTTTAGTAATGTGTTAGTGCTCGTGGGCAAGTGAAAGTGAGTTTGAAGTTCCCATAGTTTTTCTTTCTGGAACCAGACTCTTCACTGCAGATGCTCAGTGTCAGGCCATTGGTTTTACTCAGCTTACTGTCTCCCTAATCAGGCCAGTGGGTCAAGAGTAATCCACATTCACTAGTTAACTCTTGACTGTTGTGAAATGTATTTTGGTGTCTTGTCAGTTCTCAACTTATTTTTTGGGGATATAAAATTTATCTTATTCTTGAAGTGTGATAATATATATCTGAAGCTATGGAACATTGAATACTTAAGATTTTCTAGGAACAATTGGTTCTGCTTGGCAGCTTACTTTAGGCTAGAGCAGTGCTTCTCAACTTTAAAAAAAATTGTCTCTTATCTCTCCCACATATTGTTATAATTAATTTCTTTGCTCTTCAGCCAGTGAAAATGTAATGCTAAGGAATAACAAACAAATCTAAATACTAAGAAATAAAATTTGAGCTTTGGAGGGCCACAGATCATTGCAATACTAACACTTTTTTTGTGTGTCCTAAACCCCAACTAATTTTTGTCTTAATGAAAAGCAATTTGGCCAGGCATGGTGGCTGATGTCTGTAATCACAACACTTTGAGACGCAGAGGCAAGAGGATTCCCTGAGACCATCCTGGGCAACTTGGAAGGAATTTGCCTCAATAGTAAATCAAAAAATTAGCCAATCATGGAGGTGGGCACCTGTAGTTCTGGTTACTTGGAAGGCTGAGGCAGAACGTTTGTCTGAGCCCAGCAGGTTGAGGATGCCGTAGCCATGAACCAGCCTGGGCGATAGGATGAGTCTTCAACTCAGAAAAAAACAAAACAACAACAAAGAAAGCAACTTTATCCTTCTTATCCCCTTTCCTCCCCAATTGAGAATGCGTGGGCTAGGTTTGTTTTACTTAAATAAATCCACTTAAGATGTTTTCTTTTTCTTCTAAATGTCCTGAAAACTTTTTGGTCAATCTTAATCATGATTTATTATTGTCTTATGTACATGTTTACTTACTTAAGCATATTAGTAAAACAAAGATGAAACTTTTACTTGCCAACTAGGAATTTCAAATTTCTTCATAACACTCTAACTAATTTTTGTCTTTAATATAGTCCCTTCAAACACTTGGGATGGGGGAAATAGGTTATACTTTAAAACTGTAATGCAGATTTTAAATATTTTGGTAGTATTTCTGATTTTGATTAAATGAAATCTTAGACCTATTCCTATTTTCTGAGCCATGTTTTTTGGTTTCTCTTAACTGTAGAAGTTGTGGGTCACATTCACCTTTTGTTTCAGTTATAAACCAGTGGACCACAAGCTTATTTGGTTACCTTTGCGGGAGGCATTTGAGGAGCTCTTTGCCCAGACATTTTCGAAGAAACAAAACTTCACATTCTTGGGGCATATTCAGACCTGTTACAGGCAGAAACGGTGGCATGATCTCCTCAGACTAATGCAGCACGTGTATAAGTCTGCTGTTAAGAAGGACGGAAAAGAGAGTGAAACTGGTAAGGATGTGACCCAGGCTGCTGGTGGGCTGGCGTGCGGCTGGGGCTTAGTTGGCAGAACGACAGGCAGAGTTTGGGGGAAGAATAAAGCGATACAAGGTGGAGCTTTTTAGAACTTATGACAAAGTCAACTGATTATGAAGTGTTGCTACCCCCCTCTTCGGCATGATTCCTGCAAAAACAGATGACGATTAATGCTGCTGTGTAATTACTGCTTAGTGCTCAGTAAATCCTACTTCCTCAGAAAAAGCTTGCTTCTAAAGACCTAGATTCCACAGCCAAAAGGACTTGGATAGCTCGGTCAACTTCTGAGTGCTTCTCATCTATAACATGGGAATAAGAATAACTACTTCAAGTCTTTGTTGTGAGTGATTAATGGGTTAACCAATACATACGCATATGCATACATGTGAGATAATTAATATTGTGTCTGGACAGTAGTTAGCATTATATGAGTTTTTAGGCTTAGTTTTGTTTTTTTTTTTGAGTTGG